CAGCACCGCTGCACCCCTGCAGCACTTCCCTTCACCAGCCTGCGCCGGCAGCTGCCGTCCTGCAGACGCCACATCGCCTGGCCCACACATTATTCGGTTAGCCTCCAATTAAGGCCTCCTGTAGGGACAGGTGATTTCACCGCTAATCCCCGTAATGACGGCTAATGAAGGCGAGCGGGGAGGGGGGTGTGTATTGAAATTGGGCCACCCGCCGCTCCAGCGGGCTGCAGCCGTCCCGGAGAGTCACACTGAGCAGCCCGCTTTCCTCCGGAACGCGTGCGGGAACACGAGGCCAAATCTGCGGGGGAGCCGGGAGCCATATTCAGCCGGCGACTCTGCAATGGCAGACAGCCGTAATCGGGTTGAAAAGGAATTAAGCCCTTAATTAACTGTTCTCATTACTCAGATCACAAAAATCAGCTTAACAAGTTAGTGCTGAAGCAGCAGGGTATATATATGTGGATATAACACACAGGTGTGTATTAGCGTACAGGACGAGCAGATATGGATCTATCATACAGGGTATATGCGCTAACCTTTCGCTGATCTAAGCTGAAGTAAATCCCCAAATTCAGAATGCCAAGCCTGACGATTCATCTTCAAACAATATTCTGAAGCTGCAATGCCATAAAGCGATTAGCACCATAGCCTCAGGGCTCCGAGGCTGTGGGTTCGAAAACACTCCCCAGTTCTGTGTGCAGTCGGCATGCCTTCCTAGTGTCTGCACTGGTTTCCTGTAGGTAGGCTGGTTCCCCCTTGTGATGGAAGGAGGAGTGAATAAGAAAAACTGAAGAACATGTCAGATTGTTAGATTAAGTCAACTTCACAAAAAATTACTACATAAACAAAACAATTTAAAAACTAAATACTACACTAAAATGTTCCCACATCGCTGACATGAATCCCGCTCTGCAATCTGCTATCCATCTTGAGCTAATGAAACTAGCTTAGCTTCATTAGCCATTTTATCACCCATCATGAGCCCAGCAGGCATGATCGCTGGACACATAGCAGGAGGACAATAAAATAGGTGTGATGTGTAATAATTACAAAATATACAGCTTGCCCTAACTTTAAACAGAATAATCACGATTTACATGTGCTGCAGTGTTAATTGTGAAATTAAATTAAATGACTTTTGTAACATAAGTGACTGAGTGCTCAACTGTGACTCTTTGAGGCTGTTGGGGTGGATATTGCGGTTCCGTCTTCCAGTTACTGTTGTGGGGGGGGTACGTTTGGGTGGCCACGCCCCTGCCCCCTGTGCCGTGCCCCTCCTGTGTGACCGTGCTCGCCTCCCCAGCGCCTGACAAACAGACCCTAACGATACTGAGCCCTGCTCTGTGATATACATTCACGGCCACCCTCTTTATAGAGTCCCACTGCTGGAGCACACAATAAAATGTGTCTATTCGCTGCGCCGCTCGTCTGCACGCGTGCCAAGACCCCCAGCTTTCTCCTGTGCACAGAGACGCTCCCCGATGCGTCCGTCACCGAACGGGG